GGACTGCGGCGGGGCGGCGTGCTTCTGATTGCGGCGACGTCTCTTCTGCGAACCACAAGCCCGGCCCGGGGGAGGAACAAGGGCCCACCCCGCCGGCCCGGGGTGGACTCTGTTTTATGCCACTTCCCCCCTCCGGCGGCGGCGGGGCGGGTACGCGGGACGCAGGGCCCGGCCCGAGACCCGGCGCACGCTTCACAAGAAATGCCTGGGAGAAGGTCAGGAGAGTGGAACGGAGGCAGCAAGGGACTGGCAAAGAGGGTGCTTGCTGCTGGGGCGGATCCCGGCAGGCACGACACAGGTACTGTAGCAGTCTTACAAAAATATTTTTATGTCCGAAAAGTTCCGTAACAACACTACATGACGTATATTATTACGCTCTCCCGAAACATTAGCTTTATCTATTCGTTTGAAGATTGAATTCCTAATGATTCCTAAGTAACTGTTCTGCACGGTAAAAATCGGGGTAAAAACGACATCCAGGTTTTCAAACAGTTTTGGTTGCATGGTTTTTCCCTCCCCCTCCCCCATCTTGGTATCAGGGTGGAACGTTTTCCTGAAGGAGGCACAAGCTCAGTCCGTTTGACGAGCGTTCGATACGTCTGGACGTCTCGTCCGTTATTCCCGAGGACGGTCCTCTCGACGCCACCTGCCGTGCCGTACCGGACCGGGTGATTTAGAGAAGACGCAGGTGGGGGCGGGTTTGCCTACTCGCTCTGCCCATAAGGCGCCATGGCCCCTTAGGTATAGGCAAACCCGCTCGCACCTGCGTCTTCTCTGAATCACCCGGTACGTGACTTGTCGGCGGATAGCGAGGCCATTGGCGAAGGGGCTTCCTCTGCGGCCGAGGAACAAAGTGCTCAGGAAGAAAAACGTACGATGACTGTAATATCGCGGTCTTGGACATGACTGTGCCGGCCAGCCAACGGCGCATAACGCCAACGCCTCATTTAAAATACCTCCTGATCCCACTACTACACGCGCCGACCACGCCGACCGACGGGCTGCGATAATCTGTCTGGATTTGTTGGCTCAGCAGCCTAGTCGAGGGGTTTGGGGATAGATGGCCTCCCCCCCCCCTTTTCCTCCCCGCAGCCCTGCTGCGCAGCCTCGATGTCTTGCCTTGCCGACAAACAAGCAGAGCCAGTCCTAAACCAACGGACATCCCCCTCTCCCCGCCCCTCTCCCGCTCGCTCTTGGCCGGGGAAGACGTTCGCGAAACATCTTTACAGAAGGTGAGTGGGGGCGGGAGGCACCGGGGGGCTGATCCGGTCGGTGCTCATAATGTAGGACAGCGCCACCCCCGCGTCCGGCGGCCGTCCGTTCGTCCGTCCGGGCGCGGCGCGGGGATACACAGAGTTTATATCGAGAAATAACATCGGCCGGAAATATGTCCTGATGTTATTGGGCCTACTGCTGATGTAGGCCGTCAGGGAGCCACCCGCAGGCGGGACAACAAGGCAGCCTCGCGCTCGGCTCGGCCGCCCGGTGGCGCGTTGGCGGCGATTCCCACGTCATATGCATGGGTACCGTACCGAAGTGAAAAATAAAAAATAACTAAAAACAAATAACATAATATATGAACAGAGTAGAGCTTGCTCTGCCATTGCTCTAGTAGAAAACGTTAACATGTTTTTTGTTTGTTATTTTTCATAAATTTACAATGTACACCAACCGACAGAGATGGACGGACGGATGAAAGGTCTAATACATAAGCTCGCTGATATGAGTTTTTTTTTCAAAGCAAAAGAGAGGGCTGAAACCTCGACTGAAACGCATTTTATGATGTACTGTACAGTATCGATTTTTAAAAATTTCCTCCAACAAACAATAATTTGACGCTCCTGATTGGCCAGAACGCAAGGGTGTGGACAGTGGACACTCGGATCAGACTCAGCTCTTTCAAACGAAAGAAGACTTGTTTGGTTACCGCCGCGCCCGAGAAGGAATGCACCATGGGGGCGCGGGAGCGCCTGTCAGAGCTAGGGTAGGCAAGCCCTCGCACCGCCTCGCGCGGCCGCGTCGTGCCGGCCTACCTCCCGGGCGGCCCTCGGAGAGTATACCTTCCGCACAGCATCCGCTCGGGAAGCGCGAAGCGCGGCGCCCGTCGGGCTGCCTATCTCTGCCGGGCGGGTTATAGCAGGGAGGAGGAGGCGCGTGTGTGAGGGGAGGAAGGGTAAGGGGTGGTTAGTTGCCAGGCGGCCGGGCGCATACTCAGTGCACGTAATGAACGCGCTCAAACGATAATTCAGTCGCCGGGGCTCTACTATAGCTCCGCGCCGCTCGCTGCGAGCCAGTTTTTTTTTTCGCCCCCTCTGTGAGCGCGCTCACCGCCGCACTCTGCCGCACAAAAAGGAGCAGGCGGTAACGAGCGAGCGCTGCATGGCGAGCGCGGCCAGCGCTCACATACGAGCAGCCAGCCGCGCGGGCGAGGCGCGGCGACGTGTCGGGCCGGGCCCCAGGAGGCCGCCGCCGCCGAGGTGTGGAGCCAGTCGACCCGCTCACTCACCTCCTTGATGAGGTGCGCCAGGCGGTCCAGCCGGTCGCCGTCCTGCGAGCCCCTCTTGGTGGGGAGGTAGCGCGCGGCCACGGGCGAGGTCAGGGCGGCCAGGCCGAGCAGGCACGCCATCAGGGTCGCGAGGGCGGCAACGTTTGTCCTGCGGGCAGAGAAGGCAAGGGCAAGGGCCGTCACGACAGTGCGCTCTCTTCACTCGCGTAGACAATTATTTTAGGTGGGACCGTACTACACCATCACAGGAAAAAAAAGGAATTTAACCCCCTCAGCTTGGAATGATCAGAGGGGATTTAATTCTTCTTGCGCTTCGGGTAGATTTACTGTGCAAAAAATGAAGTCTGAATTCCTCTCTTTGTTTTACTCTCGACAAATTACAAAAGCAGGTACAGGTAACTCTCGTTGAATTTCTAACACACAGGCAGGCAGTCATACGGACGGACGGACAGACAGGCGTATGAACTCGCAGACAGACAGCGAGTGCCGCACTGCGGATAGCGAGGCAACAGCAGAGGGTGCGCCGCCAAAACGCTAGCTGCGTTATGGAAATTTTCGTATCACGCGCAGGGGAGGGAACATCGTCAGAATATTACGGTTATGGCTCGCGGCGCGATTTCTTAAAATGCGAAGAGGGTTGTGAGGTGAGAGAGGGGGGTGGGTGGGCGGGGGTAGTAGGGCATGAGGGGTATAAGAAGGGCTAGGCAGAGAGGCAGGCCCCCTCGGCACCTGGGCGCTTCGGTTGCCACCCCGCCTCATCCTCCACTCCCGGTGGGCTACAATGACATCCTCGAGGAGTAAGTCCCACCACGCTCTCGTTCCTTCCCAGCTCACTGTTTTTCATTCTTAACTTCCCCCCCCCCCCCCTCCCCCCTTTGGGCTCGAGAGGGGGGCTCATTGCCGCACAGTCCGGCCAGAGAATAATACTTTAGCGCCGCGTCGGACTCATCCGGCGCGACCGCCGCGCCCCCCTCACCCTCACCACCCCGCCCGCGTCCTCGCACCCGCTCTCATTTACTCCGTTGCGAAAATACTGTAGCGCGACACAATGCTTCCCCTCCCACCCCCTCCCTCCCCGGCTAACGCCAGCCCGGGGGAGGTGTTCCCTTTATCCTCGCTTGTTGGCCCCTCGGGTCTGAGCCGGGCCGGGCCGGGCCCCTCCGGACTCCCCCGGGACTGGCGCCAGAAGAAGAGGCCGAGCAGAGGCTACATTCTTCGCCCCCGCGCCCTGCGCCCTGCGCCCCGCACCCTCTGTGTGTCTGCCTGTCCCCACGTAGCGACCTGCAGAAGAGAGAGCCTGTGTGGCGCTCTCAGACAAAAGGCCGGGGGGAAGAGGGGATGAAGAGGTGAAATAAAAAAAGGAAACCACGAACCACTTGAGATTCGTCTGCTGCCGCTAGCGGTTCAGGTCGCACCAGGGAAAGAACTGGATCCCCGCCGGCTGTGCGGCGAGCGTCCCCGGGACACTCGCAGTGGGATAGGGTTGAGGTCAAACAAAGTTGTTGTCAGCACACCCCTCGCCCCTTTCCCTCCCCCTCTCTTCGGCCCGGCCGCCGAGAGATTCGAGTCATTCGAGTCTTCCTTGAGTTTTTCTCCTCTCGCGTGCCTCGCGTGCACACTACCACCCCGGAAGGGGGCCGCGCGCCCGATCCCTCGGCCGAGGGTTGAGTTACGCGGCACCGGGAAGGGGCGCCACCCGAGCGGTAAAACGCGTGTCGTTAGCGGCAATCAGCCGTCATCAGTAACCCGGCCCGGCCCGAGGCCCGGCCCGGCACGGACCCGCGTCCATAAACCAGCCGCTGGAGCTGATCAGCGCTGCAGCCCTATTGGCGGGTGATGAGATGGTTCGGGTGACCACATCCCGCCCCCATCCCTGGCGTTACTGTGAAATAATGAGTCAAACTTTGTTGTGTACACCCCCTCAAAAGTTTGCAATGGCGGGGGGTAGGGTACTGAGATTGATTTGGAAAACGGAAGTCAGCAGAATAGCGAGAGGATGCAGACCAAACAATCAACCAACTCAACAGGAAAGATACGAGGGAGAGAGACATCCGTATGAGAAATGTGACAAATGGCGTTGCGTTTCCTGAGATGCCCCATTATTCGCCCCCGCCCCTTCAGAATTTCCCTTTGTCACGTCGTTAAAAGTTCATCTACACAGATAAAACCTTACAAGGCAAAGCAAATGCTTTGCAGCAACAAAGGAAAAAACAAAACATGATCGCCAGGGTCCTGCTTTGTTTGAGGACGGCGATACGCCACTCCACCACCCCGCCCCAGCGCAACACTCTCCTTGTTCCACCTGTCGAGAACGCTCCTCGCATATGATGGCTTATGCCCGCCGCGACCTCCGGCGAGATCGCACGCACATATCAGATACGACTGACTGACTGACACTTCACCTCACGCCAACCCACGACGACCTTACAGCCTTACGCACACTTCTAGCCCCCCGCAAATCGTTGACGTCCCGCACCACCCTACACGCCAGGCCGGCTGCTGGGCCAAGCCAGCAGCTTTCCAGCAGCTTCCAACCCCTCCCAGATGTACGCCTCCTCTCCAGGCCACTCTAGCACGGGCCGACCTGGATGGAGAGGTTGACAAGCGGACACCTCAGCCTCGGCAGCCGCGCCTCACCTCCAGCCGCGGCTCGACGCGCCCGCGAGACGACATCACTTCAAAGGAGTCGAGATACCGTCTTGAGGCGAGGGCACGGATCGAGAGGCTGTCCCGCGCCGTCCCTCACTCTTCTCATAACCACCACCGTCAAAGTAAATCGAGTCGCGAGAAGCGGCTGCCAATACATCGCACACTGCACCACCACAGCAGGGAAGGCGGTATACGACACCAGCGGCACCATACAAACCAATCAAAAGGCGGAATTTTTATCTTCTCCTTTTCCTTGACCCTGGACGCTCTCTAACACACACACACACGTGTATATACTGTATAAACCCCGTCGCTTTAGCGCTCTCCCGCACATCCACCTTCCAGAGCCTCTCCCCTCCTTCAAAAAGTGGCAATGTAACGAAGTTGTTTATTACATCCGCTCTTCATTTTATTATTTTTACTTTTTTCGCTCGACATTTCGGTATGACGCCTACAAGCGCCCACGAGCCACGCCCCCCACCCGGCTCTCTCCTCTTACCCTCATGAAACTTCGCAAGGGCCAACGCTACAGAGAGAGAGAGAAAGGGGGGGGGGGGTATAGAAAAGGGGGGGGGGGTAGAGAGACCAGAGTGAAAGGAACGAAAGGAAGGGTAATAGGGTGCAAAGGGGGAAGGTAGTGGTGGTGGGGAGGTAGCAAGATGCAAGAAGGATTGAGGGAAAGAGGTTACGCTCCCCGAGTGGTTTTGCACTACGATTACCACTTGCTTTCCCTCGCCCCTCCCTCACCTCAGCCACCCTATCCACCTGTCTGTCTGTCTGTCCGTCGTCTCTCCGTCAGTCCGGGCAGACGGGGCAGACCTGTGGCCTGCGGCCGCAGCGGCGCTCTCACAGCAGTCAGAGCAGCAGAGTGGGCCCGCGAGACCGGCGTTGGCGGTCATTTGAAGGCGGAAAGCGGCGGAAAGAGCAGCGCCTCGCCTTATTTTTGAAAAGGAAGCAGTGGAGAGGCGGCACCCGCCCCCGCCCCGCCCCCGCGACATGGGAATAATCAGCACGGACAGCGGGGATGAGCAGCGCCGCCTGAGCATTGCAAATTGAACGTGACAGCAAAAGTTATTCCCGAATCTCTCCCGAGTCAGCTCTTCCCTGTGTAAACGGCGGCGGAAACGTTTTCTCTTCCGCGGCGCCCATTCCTCGTCACCAATCGCATTCGGCAGCACCCGCGACTATGAGGAGGTTGCCCGATAAGAGGAACAAGAAGAAGGTAGCACTGAGGAGGTGGCGTGGCGTAGTGCCGTCCCTAAACAAGGTAGAAGATGAGCGACAGTCTAGCAGAAGGTTAGGATGCGTGTTGTTAGATTTCAAACAGTGTAGAACGGGCCTATGGATCTAGCACCTTGGTACCACCTATACCAAAGTTTATTACCACAGTTGAGTCATTATCATTGAGTTAAAATTGTATGTACCAATGTAATATGTCCGTACACTAACCTAAACAACGACACCGGGACGGTTTAGAAGATTGTATAAACTTACTTTTCCGAAGCCAAACTTTGCAGAAGCACTTTTTGACACTATGTTGCTACGCCGGTCTAGTATGGACCCAACTTTTCTTTACAAATTCTACAAAACTTGATTTATGATCACACATCCACTCGCGATAAAAAACACAGTATGGTCGCCGGCGTCACCGGCGTTCTGCTTTGATTAGGGACGGCGCTACGCCACGCCACCTCCTCCTCAGTGTGCTACCTTCTTTTTGTTCCTCTTATTGGGCAACTTCCTCATCCACCGCAAAGGGAGCAGGCTGACGTGTAAATCCGACTCGTGGGCTTTGGCTTGTTGTACGCTCCCTTTCCGTCCCATACAAACTCGGCGTTGTCACTCCCCAAATGCGAGGAGAGGAGCTTTGAGCTCGTGAGGAGAGGCTCGCCGCAATGCAGCGGAAAAAGCGAGCGTCATGTAAGGAGTAATTGGGCACGTGTGCTGCTATACATCCCCCCCCCCACAAACCCCACCCCGCACCTGCCGTCAGAGGCAGCAGTGCCAGACTAGACGACACAAAAATGCTCTCGGAACAGAAACGAGCGCTCCAAATTATGTCCCCGTAGCGGAGGACAGCACACGGCAGGGCGGGGCTAGTGAGGGACGGCGCCCACGCACGCCTCCGCCCTCGCGTCACGAGAGCGTGCATTGCCGCCGTCAGCGACGGCAACAACGTGCGCCTGCAGGGCGGCCCACCCGCAGCCGACGCCGCGCACGAGCTGTTTTCCCTGTACTACTACTTCAGTCGTCACGGCGGACAATAATACGTTGGGGCGACTAGTACTGCATGCACTTCTCCCATTTCCGTGTCATCCATAAGGCAGGCGGCGGCGGGTCGG